GAAATCAAGTCCACAACTTCCCTGGTCCACAACTTCCCTGGAAGGATTCACCGCCTTTTTGAATGCTGCTACTACTTTAGAGAGGCAAACTGCCTGTACGGTGATGTAAAGGGGACATACAGCTTGAGCTGTCATGACTTGAGTTCTGTGTATTGGGGTTATCAAAGTCATCAAGTGGGGGTGTTTCCCTTCATCCTTTATGGTGGCAAAATCGTGAGCCCAGTTTAAACATGACAATGCCGACCCCAGATGAATCAACTTGGTGGATGCATAAGGGGTGTTTCCGTGAGAAGTGATCCGGATTTCCTCTTGTATGGGACCCTCCTAGAAGAATCACCAGGGTGTATTCATCCTGGATTCCCTTTACAAGCGAACCAGCCAGGGCATTCACAACACCTTCCACTCGTGTTCCATCTTCAAGCTTGGGGCGTGGAAGATCCTTTGAACATTTGTAACTTTGACGCCAGTGTCTGAAGAATTGCTTGACTCCCGGATGTGTGGGTGAGGATTTGCAACATGTTTCCTGCACATAGGCAAACCAGCGAGACAAAAACACATTTTTTCAAGTGAGTGTCTGTGTGATCTTCTTTTCAAGCTAGAGGCTTTGGGCCTTCCAAAGCGCAGATTTTGCCGCTGCAGCGCACATGGCTTGGGCAACTTTCCGCTGACAAAGACAGGTGGAGGCTTGCCGGCGCCGCAGGTTGGATGCCTGGAACTTGGAGCGCTCCGAAAAAATATGGCAGACCACGTCTTACCAAACCTCAATGATTTTCAAGGGTCATCTCTATTTTTTCGACCAGTCCAGAGCCTTGGGTTTTTGGAACACCTGAAGTGAGAGGCAGGGTTCTCGCCTGTGCAATACTCAAGTAGGATCTGGCCAGTGGTGAGGACTGCCCCTTTGGTCAATCTAAAAAAAGTCAGGTTTAGAAAGATAAGATGTGGAAGCTTGGTAAACCTGGAAGCCCCGTTTTGTGTGCAATCCATGTTAGCAACTAATTTTTGCAGAACCCAACTGTCGGAGGAATTCTCTCCTCAACATGGAACAACTGGCTAGTCGGTGCTCCAAATAGATCCAAAGTTGGCATGCTGTATTCTGCGGGTATGGAGCAAATTATTTTTAAGTATAACATGTATATATATATATACATAGATCACAGTATATATATTTGGCGCGTTCACATTAGGCAGATGTGGAGCAAGCCAGACCTGACTTGTGGCTGACTGGAGCGGGCGCTGTTTCACACGTGCGCAGCCGCGAGTCGGGGCTATGTGCGTTGCACCTTTTCTCAAGGCAATCCCCTGGTTGGGAGCGCTCTGGTGACCCACGCTTTTGCCCGGCGACTTCGCCTCCACCTGCTGTATATATATATATACACATGTGTGCACATGTATGTTATATACATATATACATCAAATTTGGCCGAGTATAAGGAACCGAATCGATTTTGGTGTGCCCTGGGGTTGGGTTGGAGGAGCAAAAATCTCGGACGAGCGGGGCACCCGGAGCATTTCAAAACACTGCCGTCGACTCCAATCGAGCTTCTCGGGCAGCGGTACCCAGGGATCCTTTCGCGACCAAGCAGTGCCCATAGCTGCTGATCACAGTGGGGGGGGTGTTACGTGGTCTGATGGGGACGGCCTATCCCTTTATAGCTATTTGGGTATGGGTCAAAATTAAACCACCAGGGGACCACAGGTTTTGGTCCATGCTTCCACTTGCTAGGGTTCCATTTGGGGTACCTATGTTTGACCCACAGCCATTTTAGAGCCAACAGTCTGCTTGGGCACTGCTGGAATGCATCTGATGCTGACTAGCATTTGACTCTTCTCGCCGAGCTGTTCGCCCGAAGGCGTCGGAAGCGGCGACGAGAGAGTCGTTCGACGGAGATCGAAACATCATGCGATGGGCTGCCGGGAGTTCCGTGGCGAAACGAGACCTTGAAAAGGGTTCCTTCTAGGATCCCTATGGATGCATGTTGTTTTTGAGGGTACCAATTTGTTTTTTTTGTTCAAAGGGATCCGGGGACGCCACTCCCTCTGAGGGTTTCCTCACTTTCAGACAGACCCATGTGGATGCTGCCAAGTGGTCCCGTGTTCTCCATTATATCAAGCCTTCCACAAGAGGGTGCCTATTTTTTCACCTCCCAGAGTAGTCATTAGTCATACGAACGGCGAACCGTTGATTTGCAAGTGATGTTCCTGCAACCTCTCAGACACTATGTAAAAATTGCGGTTGACCCATTTTTTGGGGCGAAGCCGAGCAAGCGAGCTCCAGCTTGACCGGTCTACGCTTTACGCCTTACTCCCGCCGGCCGCCCTTGGCTGTTGCCTGCTTCGTCTAACGAATGTGGCTGAAGACTGATCAGTTCTTCCTTTTTCTCTGCCTGAGGTCAAAGCAGCTCCGAAGCATTCGTCTATGTTGTAGGTATTTTGTCTCTCTGTGTGTGTGTGTTTGTATCTGTGTTCTGTGTTTGTCTGTGTCTGTGAGGGCTCATGGGAGAATCTTCGCTCGTCCTTGCGTCGAAGGAATGCAATTGGTCGCACTTTTCCTCTACTGTCAAGTTGTTTTTAATGGTGGCACAGTAACGTTGTACGCCTACCTAATTCCAGTCACTTCAATTGTTTGATGCCAGCTGTTCATACAAACCAATTATGCATATAGTAGTATACATATATTATGCAAATATGTAAAACTAGAGTAGCAATTGTGGTTCATGTTGAAGGGACATGACAAGGACACCAGCCCCCTTTTTTTTTCGACACACACACACACATGTGAAAACATGCTTTTGACTCTGGTGGGTTAATTGGTTTGTTTTGGTTTGGATTAGCCGTTTTTTTTTAGTTGCCTGTTTGTATGGCTGGTTTGTTTTTTGTTCTTGGTTGCGGTTAGGCGCGTTCGCTGGTGGCTTCATAATTACGCTGTTGCTATTGTGGCTATTGTTACTGCGGATGGGGTACTAGACATCGGCAGCTGTGCACCACCGACGACCTCAGGATGATTTCGTATACCAACGTTCCGAGCCAGTTTGAGCCAACGCTTGTCTTGCACCGCTCGCGGAAAAAGGCAAGTTGGCAAGCCCCTGCAGCGGAGCCGCCAATGTTTTGGGGCAACTTTGTTTCAGACCGTTATGCCCTGGACATCGTCGTTATGCGTCCCATAGCGAAGAAGCAGATCATAGAAACCAGGACTTCTACAAGAAGTCCTTGCTTTTGGAGGCCAGTTTCCTGCAGAAGTCTTGCTGATGCTGGTTTATATGATAAGGATATCAAGGCAAGTCTGGTGCGCTGCTCAATGCCGAAGCTGGCAGAATTCCACCGGGCAGTAGGGCAAACTAGAAGGAGCGCACCGATTCGGGGGGTAGAACGAACTTTTTCCCCACGGGATTTTCAGGTCCTTGACGGGGGGGTTCCTTGCTTCCAAGCATGATTCCTCAGGAAAGGCGTGAGGTTTCCTGCCTGGATATCTTCTCAGAACCCATCGATCGGAAGCCCGAACCTTTCCTGAGGTAGGTTGGCGCACTTTTAATTTCGCCCCAAGAATCAGTTGGAGCACATTGAACGGGGCCTGAACAGTTTGTTGGGTTCTGGGTGAAACTCCTGGTATATTTCAATCAGGGCGTAAGCAGTTCCAAATTTTGGGCCAATGGGAGCCCAGTTGATTAAGAACTCCCTGTCTGGTTTGTGGGCCTTTGGTTTCCCTCTAGAGCCTCAACGCTCAGCAGTCAGATTGCCAAGCTCTTCCGCCGCACTTGATTTCGCGCATCAGCCATTTGGGGACCTTTGAGGTGTTTTGCCGTCATGACATGACAAGGAGATTGCATAGACAAACGATAGGACTTAGGTATGTTGATAAATAGGTATACGGATATTATATGGGTACGTTGTTTAACAAGGACCACTCAACAATGGTTATTCGACATGAATCTCCATAGGCCCAATTCATGTTCACAGTCATACAATCAAGTATATTGATATAGACACACATCCGCGTACACTACACTGCACTGTTTTATGCCGCATTACACAACTACCTTTCGTTGCATTGTGTTACGTCACGTTACGACATACACACACACACACAAGTGTGGTTGTCCAAACGATGGCCTCCATGTTAGACCTATTTCGAGACCCATTTGAGCGGCGACATGAAACGCCATCCCGATTTGCGGCCTTCTTTTTGAACTCCCCCCCTGTAGCCTACATACACAGCTAGAGGATTGATCGGTGGATTGGTGCTACTCCCTTGCAGATCAACATCCAATGTAAGTAGTGCTCCAGATCAGGAGGGTCCAGATCAGCATGGTTTTAAGACAACCACAAGCATGTCTTTTGTGCATGCTTAAGTTTGTTTTTGCAAAATAATCAGATTTGCTTAAATCATAGTATTTCCTGCACATTTATGGTTTGAGCACAGTGTAGCCTCTTGATCTATGCCAGCACTGACGGGCGCAATGTGAGTGAGAGGCTGATTGATTCAGTGCGCAGATTGTGTCTGAAAGCTGTGAGAGGTCATGTGCATCAGAAAGAATGGCAGTATAAAACAATCAATTTGGCATGTCTCACAACACTACTTTAAAGGCAGGTTAAAAGCAGGGCAATGTGGTTAGTCCCGAAAATCTATCTCGCAAAAAACGTAAAATCTCAAAAAGTCTCCTTTCATCACATTTTTTTTAAATCTCAAAACATATCGGGACTAATATAGTGCAATAGTACTTTAAAGGCAGGGTCAATTTTGGGATCCCTGAACATCTATCACACAAATCTCAAAAGTCACAAAACACAACACAATTTTCAAAAAGTCTCAAAACATCTCAAACAATCTCG